ACCTTCTGGTTAGTGGCTGATCCGCTCTGCCACCTGAGCTACAGCCACCCCATTGTGACAATAAATGGGGTGGGCAATTGACAATAAAAAATAGCTCCAATGTATTTCTATTTTGCTAAAACACAGACTGCACCATCCTGGCTTTAGAGTCCTTGCACAGGGAGACAAGTGAATAAACCATTACATTATGAAAGCACTCATCACTTTGACTAGAGAAGTCAGCGTTAATCGTGTTGCTGTATGTTTATTTAAGGAATGCTGAGTGAAAACATTTTCATTAATCAAGTGATGCCCGTTTGTTTTTCAAAGCTAGAGTATATACGCATCCATACACTGGAGTTTCACAGTAACTATAGTGAACAAGACGAGTTAAAACTTATATATCCACCTTAGATTTACAAGCAGTCAATTTGATTGGGTGGTTTACAGACATGTGCAGAGTGCATGCAAATACATTCACAAGGATGTACTCGTGCATTATGTTGTTATATACATGGTTTCCTCGAGGGAAACTAAATGTAATGCTTCTTCTGTAATAGTCTTCTTTGTAACTCAAACTGCATTCACTAGTGCGCCCTTCCTTCACTCCTTCTTTTCAAGAATGTACCAGATTGTTGACGTGTCCATTTATTCTGATTTTCAGACTAATAAAAAACTTTGGACCTCATATTGAGAGGTTGATTGAAAAGCTACTAAATCCAAGTCCAGCACTTGGAACCAGATCTTTTCTCTACTAAATTTGTCGTGGAATAAAGAGAGAACAGGCTTCTTTAAAGCTATTTATGAGTTGCTCAGTTATGTTTGAGTATTTGAAAATGGGCAGTGAATCTGAACCAGATGGAATAGCTGTGATTCCTAAATTAATGCCTAATCTGAAAGTTTGGACTTCAATCACATCTTGATTGTTGGATTTATTTTTTATTATTGTCTGTGGTGGGGCGCAGTGGCAGGACTAAAAGAAGTGTTAAAAAATTGAGGAAAAAAAAGTACAAATAATCCAAAAATGTATGCAACTGTAATTTCTGCTACATCAGCTCACCATTAATGACACCATTCATTTGACTGACCAAGAGTAAATTGATTAACTACTGCACAGAGTCGCAGTAGTTACACATTTGCACCACCATTAACAAAAATAGCCCATAAAGTCAATAATTTCAAGTACTAACAGTTAAAATAGTCTCTCCCTCAGTTTCAATCATGACTCTCACCAGTGGAAAGGCGTGGGAGATCTTGCCGTCTGGGGGAAGTTTAGCTCCAAAGCCATACGCAGGGAAGAGTTTGTCACTGTCATAGTCCTGGATAATTTCTCCCACAGCCTTCAGGGCCATGGCATATGCATTCATTTGGTATGGACTCATATAGTGCAACGATGTCGGCTGGGACGGGTTACCTAGAAAGAGAGAAACCCCCACCAGCATGCAGCAAAATTAGCGTCAGAATGTTCTTATCAGAGAATGAAGAAAAGCAATTACACATGTATTAGACTTGCAAAAAACACACATGCAGACATGATGAAGAAACCACTATGTTGTGTAACTACTGGAATTAGTTGTTTGTTTTTTTTATTTGCTTTCCATAAAAAAACCCAACTAAATTTTGAGAAACGTGGTTTTGTAGGATTGATATTACGGAGCCGTGGAAAGAAAATACATTTCAAAGAGCATCCTTATTCGTGTCTGTGTAGTTTCTTTGCTGTCTGACATGTTGTCAGTTCTCTAAGTCTGAATGCGGTCTTTTCAATTTGTGGGATCACAACCTAGCATGAAAGGTTTTAAGCAGTGTTGTCCTGTTTAAGACTCTTTGATAAATTCACTATCAGAGAACGGTTTATTGTTGTTGTAGATTTTGTAGGAAATCACAATACAACTTTGCTGCTTTTATTTTGAAGGCCACAGCTTTCAAAATACTCAACTTAAAAAGTCTATTTTTATTTATTTTTTTAACTCAAAGCTGTGTGCTTAGTTTGTGGTGAGTAGTTCGGATTCCCATTTAGCATGCAGAAAAATGCAGGAACCTGACTGATTCAGTGTGGGAATGGAAATCTGAACCTTTGCTAGCAAAACTGCCATTTAACCAAGCTTTAGACATCCAGCTTTGTGATTTCCCACAAAATACCTCTCTCTAGCCAAACTGTAACCAGATGGATCCAGAAAACTGCAACAAATCTGGAGCTTTGACTTTTTCTCTTTTGATTTGAATGAGAGCTGTGATGTCCCTGACTCAGTTATTCATCTTATCATATGGAGTAACAAACGAGTTTGAGATTATGGAGGAGCTGACAGATTTACGCTCAATGATAACCTGCTCAGTATTTTTCTCCAGTATTTTAAAGTCTTTTAATAAAAGTCTTATTGAATTCCTATAACCTCCTTTTTTTGTGCACGTATAATGCAGAAACTTGGAACTAATTTAAGTTTTAAGATGGTTTTTTTGCTCCAGGGTAGGTTTCAAGCACAAGGGGAATATTGAGTGATATAAGTATACAATGACTGGTCTGTGCAAAAAAACCATATACATAAACAATAGTTATCTTTAAAAATATAGAGAACCGGATCAGTAGAAAATATATGTAAGAGAGGAAACGCATCATATGAAGCAAAAAGATCATAATTTCACTCACGTTATTCTCAACTTGCAACCTTTGCAAAGCACAGTAAAGCTATGTAAAAAAAAAAAAAAAAAAAAAAAAAAGGAAAAAAGAAGGGAAACTGAAAAACCCTTACAGGAAAATAAAGACCACTATGTACTATTTAAACCTGTCTGTTAAGTTACTGCCACAAATGCATGTTAGCTTAATAGCAGATATTAAAGAATATTTTACAACCACAAACAACTTTTCCTGGTTGTAAAATATTTGTTCCTCATTCCCAGTAAGTTCCCTGGTTCTCTGTACATTATTAAGACTGACACACTGCTATCTGCAATTCCCAGATTAAACTCTCATGAAACTCAAATCTCTGTGGTTGGGGGAAGTATATATCTAGAGACAACCTTGCAGTGGGATTACACCAACTAAGTTACCAAAATCTATCCACAGATAACCAAAAGTATTGAAAAGTTAGTTTTGAAATGTAATGTTTCAAAATGCACCAATGAGGCATAACATAATGACCACGTGCCTAAAATTTTGTTGGCCCCTATTTGCTGCCAAAACAGCCCTGACCCATTGAAGCAACTAGACTCCGAAAGTGTGCTGTGGTATCTGGAAGCAAGATGTTAGCAATATTCTTCCTACAAGTCCTACAAGTTGTGAGATGGGGCCACCGTCAGTCTGACTTGCTTATACATCACATCCCACAGATGCTCAATTGGATTGAAAGCTTGGGAATTTGTTGTGCTCCTCAAACCATTCCACAGTCATGTTTTTTTCTTTCTGGCAGAGTGGATTATCCTGGCCACCGCCATCGGGGAATACCATTTCCATGAAATTCAATTCAATTCAATTTTATTTATATAGCACCAAATCACAACAACAGTCACCTCAAGGCGCTTTATATTGTACGGTAAAT